GAGAGAGAGAGAGAGAGAGAGAGAGAGAGAGAGAGAGAGAGAGAGAGAGAGAGAGAGAGAGATATAGAGAGAGAGAGAGAGAGGATGGCGTTTGCATTCTCGAAACGGAAGGTGCCGTGTTAAGCGGGCGACAGACTCTCTTGGCGATGAGGTAAGGGACGGGACTGGTGATCGAGCGCATTGATACGAAGACTTCTAGCCTTTCCAGAGTAATTGATTAACAAGACGAAACCAAGAAGAACATAAAAAAGAAAAAAAAGAAAGAAATGGATATCATTAGATCTCGATAGCAAGAATTTGTTTGGCAAGGGCAATGCTAAACGGTAAATAGTAAATACACTTTCGCCATCGCCAAAAGTATATTGCGAAAGTGTATTTACTTTTACCTTTACTTTTACTTAGAGAATTCAAAACTCGTAAAGCTGTTCTTGAAATCTCTAAGGAAGGACATTCTGTTTTTTTTTTTTTTTCCCCTTATTTGTTCGTCTTTTACTTTTACTTTTTACAGTATGTGTGGTTATAATCGGAGGCTGTCTCTCTCTCTCGAAGGACATTCTGTTCCAATTCAGATCTCAGTTGTAGTGCTGCTGATAGCGATAGCGATTCCAACTTCACGGTATGCAGTTTGCAGAGAGAAGAGCACGGTTCACTCACATGCTGCTTTTTTTTTTTTTCCCGCCTCCTCAGGTAGCACAATCGCAGGTGAGGCATTCACACCATGAAAACTTTTCATGTTCGGATTTTGAAAGGAAGAGAGAAGGGAGAAGGAGGAAGGTCAAAAAGGCTTACAGAAGTTTTTTTTCCGCCAGAGAGCTGAGAGCTGACGTGGAGCTGACGTGGAGGGCAAGCAGTTAAAAAAAAAAAAAAAGTTGGCACGAAGAATTGGAGAGGATATGGCAGACATTGAACCTTTTGTGCCGATTGATGTGAGGATCGAAGGCCAGGGAGGAGGAGGAGGAGGAGGAGGAGGAGGAGGAGCTACCACGTTGAAGCATGCGGTGTTTGTCCGCTCTGGGGCAACCTTTCAGGAAGCTAGGCTCCAGATTGTTGCGCAGAAAGTTTGGTGTGACCCGTTTGTGTTCCTTATCGAGAAGGGAGGGAGGTCTTGCGTTATGAACGCTGCGCAGGAGGGCTTATTTAAGGCGACTGGCAGAGGGTTACTCCTACGCCGTGGGGAGAGGGAGACACCGTCTGCTGCAAATGGGAATGGGGGAAATGGGGGAAGTGCAACGGGAAAGGGGGGGGCGGAAAAGACAGGAAAGCAGAGAGGGGGGGGGGAAGAGAAGGAAGGAGGGGGGGGGGGGGGGGGGGGGGGGGGGGGGGGGAGGCTGGGAAAGATCAAGGAGGAGGGAAGAAAGACAGAGAGGAAGGCGGAGGAGGGAAAAAGAGGCGTGAAGATGAGAAGGAGGGGGGTGGGAATGGTTCTGCTGCCGAAGAGCATGGGGAGGCCAACCAAGGAGGCAAGAAGCAGAAAGGCGGCGGGAAAGAGAAAGAAGGAGGAGGGGGGGGGAAGGCTGGGAAAGATCAAGGAGGAGGGAAGAAGGATGGAGATGATGGTGTAGGTAAGAAAAAACATGAAGAGGAGAAGGATGGGGGTGGCAACGCCCCCCCTGGCGACGAGCGTGGGGAGGCCAATCAAGGAGGGAAGAAGCAGAAAGGCGGCGGGAAAGAGAAGGAAGGAGGAGGGGGCGGAAAAGGCGGGAAAGATCAAGGAGGAGGAGGAGGGAAGAAAGACGGAGATAATTGTGGAGGTAAGAAAAAGCATGAAGAGGAGAAAGATGGGGGTGGTGGAGGTAAGAAAAAGCATGAAGAGGAGAAAGATGGGGGTGGCAAAAATGGCCCCCCTGGAGAAGAGCGTGGGGGGGGCAATCAAGAAGGCAAGAAAGAGAGAATTGGCGGGAAAGAGAAGGAAGAAGGGGGCGGAAAAGGCGGGAAAGATCAAGGAGGAGGAGGAGGGAAGAAAGACGGAGATACCGGTGGAGGTAAGAAAAAGAGGCATGAAGATGAGAAGGACGGGGGTGGCAGTGCCCCCCCGGGCGAAGAGAATGGGGGGGTTAATGGCAATCAAGAAGTCAGGAAGCAGAAAGGCGGCGGGAAAGAGAAGGAAGCAGGGGGTGGAAAGGCTGGCAAAGACCAAGGAGGAGGAGGGAGGAAAGACGGCGATGACGGTGGGGGTAAGAAAAAGAGGCATGAAGATGAGAAGGATGGGGGTGGCAGCAATGACCCTCCTTTTGCTGCCGAAGAGAATGATGGAGGGGGGGGCAATCAAGGAGGCAAGACCCCAAAGCCTGAGAAGGCCTCTAAAAGTTGTCACCCATGGGGGGAATCCAAATGCCGGGCAGACCATCCATGCCACACGTTGTGCAAAGGTCACTGCGCTCATCCAAGGACGCCTATCGTCTGTGGGAACCGTCAGAGATACTGGGAGATCATTGCAGATTCGCTGAGGGAGAAGCTACGGCAGGAGAACCGGTCTGACCGGTTCCATATCGTATTTAGGCCCGAAGTGAAGGTGTATTGCGATTATTGTGGGACCGAGAGGCCTGTGGGACCAGGAGAATCGCTTTGTGGCTTCTACACAAACCATCTCCAGTCTAGAACCCACTGGGAGAAGCAGTTGCTTTGCGAGATCCAAGGAGGAATTAGAGGCAAGCAACGAATGTAACGTAGAGAGGATGGTGTTTCGTCTTTTTTCCGTTTTTTCCTTTATCTTTATCTTTATAGGTTTGAAAGAGTAACACAGAGGGAGTCCTTCTGGACATCTGTTGAAATTGGAACGATACAGAGAATGAAGATTAGCATGGGAGAAAAAAAAAAAAAAAAAAAAAAAAGGTAACGTAGAGGGTACACAGAGGGAAATAATTTCTAAGTAGGGGGATATACTAGTAAGTCAGGTAGGAAGACGCTATCAGCAGATGCTTGGAGGGCGGAGCCGGGTGGGGAGGGGAGGCTCTGCTCCCCCGTAGTTCTTTATGTGCATGCAAAATGCAAAATCGGGTCATAGCCAGTCATGGGCTGTAGCAGAAAAATGAGGAAGAGACAAAGGAGAGTGTATATATCAATATATATTGTCACATTTGCTCCCCCGTAGTTCCTTATGTGCATGCAAAATGCAAAATCGGGTCATAGCCAGTCATGGGCTGTAGCAGAAAAATGAGGAAGAGACAAGGGAGTGGGAGAGGTATATGCAAAGCATTAGAGGAAAGCAGCACATGGTGGTGTAACGTAGAGGACAGTCTTTTTTCTTTTTTCTTTTTCAGATATTAAAATTATGAGAACAGAGACTACAGTTGATCTTAGAGCCAAGCAGCGCATGTAGCGTAGAGTATGGTTTTTCACTTTTTTAAATTTATCAATTTCCTTTTTCTTCTAGGGTTGAAATAGTAATAACATAGAGGGAACTCAGGGGGACATAAGTAGGGGATGTGTATTTGGGGAAGCAAGTCAGATAGAGGCCAGCAGATGTTTGCGGGGTAGCGGCCAACGGGCGGGCAGTGCTCCCTCCCTAGATGGTGATGTGCAGGCAAAATGCAAAATCCGGTCATGTGCAGGCATGGAGTACAGCAGAAATGCGGAGGAGACAAGGGAGAGTGTGCGTATATATATATGTGTGTGTGTGTGTGTGTGTGTGTGTGTGTGTGTGTGTGTGTGTGTGTGTGTGTGTGCGTGGGAGAGGTGGTTGCTGAGCAAGATGCAAAAGGATTTAGAGGCATGCGGGGCATGTAATGTAGAGGATGGTGATTGTCTTCTTTGTTTTTTCCTTTTTCTTCATTAGAGGATTGAGATAGTGACATAGAGGGTACTCAGGAGAGGGAAATACTAGTAAGTAGGGGATAAGTGCCTTAGGAAACAAGTCAGATATACAAAGAGGCCAGCAGATGTGTGTGGGTGGGCTGCTACCGGGCGGGAAGTGCTCCCCCCCTAGTTGATATATAGGCAAAATGCAAAATCCGCTCATGTCCAGTCGTGGGCTACAGGAGAACCGATGAATCGACAAGGGAGAGTGTATATAGAAGTATGTGTGTGCGCGGCTGCGCATGAGAGAGAGAGAGAGAGAGAGAGAGAGAGAGAGAGAGAGAGAGAGAGAGAGAGAGAGAGAGAGAGAGAGAGAGAGAGAGAGAGAGAGANGAGAGAGAGAGAGAGAGAGAGAGAGAGAGAGAGAGAGAGAGAGAGAGAGAGAGAGAGAGAGAGAGAGAGAGAGAGAGAGAGGGCTCCTGTTTGTTCCTTGTATTTATCCCTGTGTAAAATTTAGTTGACCCTGTTCTCGTCCTTCGGGACATCTGTTAAAACTGGAACGATACAGAGAATGACGATTAGCATGCCCCCTGTGCAAGGATGACATGCATAAATTGAGAAATGGTCCAAATTAGTAATAGGGGAGTGGTTGGTGGTCCCCACCACCTCAGAGGGGTATCAGATGGTTGATGCTTAACCACAACCGGGGTTAAGGTGGATTATATCACTTACAGTGTAATCAGTTAGGGGATTCTGCAGACTGTTTTTGAGGATGCAGCCTCCTCCTGATGAGTAGGTAGGTGAAACTCCTTCCAAGAAACAGTCTGTGCGTCACAGCCCCTCCCTCGTTTGTTGTCCTCTTCTCCCTCCCCTCTCTGCCGACGTCTTACCGGCCAGTTCTGTTTGACGATGTATATATATTTTTCAGATAATTTTCTACTGTTTGTTTCACGAAGTGTTCTCTTTTGTAGTTTATATATATATATATATATCTTTTGCGCTCTGACAACTTTGTGACAATATATCTGTAGTTGCCGGGGGCGGTGTTTGCATGTGGGACTCGTCATCTAGGATGGTCATTTAGTGTCTGCTTTGATTCTGTTATTGGGCATCCTGGTTGATTGTTTCCTGTTGTTCGGCTTTTTGAGCGCGGGACGGTGCTTGTATGTGGGAATCGTCATCCGGGATTGTCTTCTCTTTCTTTTTGGTTGTCACAGTGGGATTGGAGCCTTTCTTTTTGCCTTCTTTGCAGACCATAATGTTTTGATATCCTGGTTGGTCTCGCCCCGTCGTTTGGCCTGTGAGTTGGGGCGGTGCTTGCATGTGGGACGTGTCATCTGAGATTTGTTTTGTTGCCCCCTGTTCTGTATTATTTGGCTGTTCCCTTCCTCTTTTCTTTGCCTCTTTGCCTTCTGGCTGTGTGCAAGTCGGTCGATATGACACACGGGGGTGGGGGCAGCCACAGCTCAACCTACATCCACTTGGGCGGCCTTGTAAGTAAGAGGTTCTGAGCAGGGGGGGTTGTAAGGAAGAAGATATAGAAAAACGAATTCATTCTTTTTTCTTTTTTTCGCTTTTGCGCTCTCATATTCATGTGATGATATATATATGCCAGCACTGTGATGAACGTCCTGCTGTTTTTTTGACATGTGGACAACATGACCTCTGTCAGGACTGTTTTGATGGGATGGTTCGTGCTAGCCGTCCTGCTGAATGCTGTGCTGGCGCAGCTCTCCTTGGGTATCCTTGTGAACATCCGCATCATCCTCACCCTAGCTGTCCTATCTGCCGAGGTGGGGACAGATAAAGCCTTCGACACTACCGACAAATACGGAGTTAAAGAAAGAAGAAGACAAAGAAAAAAAACGAAAAAAAGTACAAATTGCCGAAAAAAAAGAAAAAAAGAAAACAAGAAAAAACAAGAAAAAACTTCAAAAAAGAAAAGAATATGTTGATCTGTGGGATTTGTTATTTGCTTTGTGGCAGTTGGATTATCTGTGGAATGTGTCATTTGCTTTGTTTGTTCTTTCCCTGTCAGGTTTGGTTTCCTCCTCCTTTTCCTTACCTCTTTGCCTTTTGGCTGCGTGCAAGTGGGTCCTTGTGACACATGGGGATGGGCCCAGCCAGCGCTTAACCTGTCATCCACGTGGCTGGCCTTGCACGTAAGAGGTGATGAACAGGTGGGGCTTTCCTTCCTTCTTTTCCTTTCCTTGTTTTGCTTTTTTTTGCCTTTGCGCTCCGATTTACAGTGTGACAATATATATATATATATACCTGACGAGTCGGTGAAACTCCGACGAAACAGTTTGTCACAGCCCCTCGTTTGTTGTCTTCTTCTCTCTCTCTGCCTACGGTTTACCGGGCAGTTCTGTTTGTGACAATATATTCACAATGTGACAATATATATATATATATATATATCGTCAAATAGAACTGCCCGGTAAACCGTAGGCAGAGAGGGAGTATATATATATATATATATATTGTCACAAACAGGTAGATATATATATATATATATAT